ATATCCATATATATATAAAGCCTTGCGCCCCCTCAAAAATTTCATTCACGCTACGCCTATTTTCCAATGGGTGGAAAAGAAGGACTTAAAAAAACGACGTGTAACCAATAAATAAAGTTTCTCTCTCAAATAAACTAACTGCATAAATTAAGAATAGAATCAACTGGGATTGCGATGAAACTATGCATAAATGTATGAAACATAAAAATAACGATTTACTCTATGTGTAATATTGTTATGTTATGGTAGATAAGAATTACATTGATTCTTTAAAATAAATACTATTAATATAAAACTAATCTTTTAAATAAATACTAATAATACCAATAATCCTCTTTAAAGGGCAAGATAAATGTCTTCTTGGCCATTCGGATCTTTAAACAAACCAAGGTAGTTAAGTGAAATTAGTGAATTTGCGCCAGGTAATAAAAATTGAATTAAATAGAACTTTACGGGAAAAAAAAAGAAAACTATTCTCTATATTGAGTGATACATGTTTTGTTCATATATATTTCCATTGTTTATGTAGATTTTCTTCCTCTCCATCGTTTCCAGGGCTGTCAATTTTCGGAAAATGCAAACATACCCATCAACAATCGAAGGCAGTGCGAAGTATTATTACAAATCTTAGTGAATGAAAGAAAAGAGTTTTGAAGGAAACAGAATTTTGATAAAACTTTTATTACAACTCAAAAAAATAACCAGTTGTCTATCAGCAACTTCTTACATGTATTAAAATTAATTGCATATAGTGGTGGGAAAGTTATTTTAATTCGAATTTGTTAAAATGCATTAACTTTGATACTGCTGGAAAAGTTATTTTCTGAAACTACGGAAATTCTGTAGTGTGGAAGGTATGAATATAAAGTACTGGTGATAAAAACATCCCTTTTCTAAATTTTTTTTAAAGAAATAAAAAGAAAAAAAGGAGAGTCACCTTAGACTGTACATTCTAATTGAGAAGACATGCTTTACTTTTTCGCTGGTTAAAGAATGGTGGTAGCTTAACCTTTAAAAGCAATTTGTTTTACATTTCTAGCGGTTTGTTACATTTGCTTAATTGGTGTTGCGAGACTAGTATCGCTGCACCGGAAAAAGTTCACAGAGATGCCAACTGCTCCGGACACGCCAAAATAATTTTTAAAAAAACGGTAAATAACTACAAAGTAAATTTTGCAAATATTTGACTGTTTTTGCTTGCTTTTTTAAAATGTATAGCATGACATGAGTACGATAAAGTGGTGAATCATATAAACCTACGAATTATTTAGAAACAGTGGAGGATAAAAATCTACTAAATTGAATTTATTAAATCAAGAATCGCAATTGATAAACTACCACTTTAAAATATATATTTGCTGTCCGGAGCAAGTTGGCATCTCTGAGTTCATGACAGTTCAGTAACAGTTTACTTAGGGAAACACGCGCAAAATTGTATTTACTATTAATAAATAGTGGTAGTTACAAACAGTTTACCAATATAAAAATAAATGACAGTATTAAATATATTTACCGAAATTTACCTCATAAAAAAATTCCTCCCAAAAATAATAATAATAAGTAACTCACCTCTGTCAGCAAAGCACCTGACCACATTAGCCCGATGTGGTGTCGGAGAAACTGTCAATCCATCGGGTGCAGCTACAGACCGATAAAGTTCCAACATATACGGAGGAGGCGCGTGCCTCGGCCACCGCTGCTGCAGGGGCGTCGCCGACGTCCCTCCCTGAAGTACCTCCAACAGCTTCTCCAAAGAAGCAGCCCCTGCCGCCGATACCGTCACAAGTATGAAGAGCAGCAGACCGCCGTTCCGGCCGAAAGCCGACATATCCTCTGACACAACAGGGTGTACCAACGAGTTCGAGGATTGCCCTTCCCTGCCACACCACCCCTCTTAATAAATCCAGTCTTCTCCTGCCCGAATGCCCGCTGCTTTTGACTTGAGACCGGCTTTGTAGCTGCCCGCATCTTTTGTTGGTTCTTATTTTTTCCCGTTAGAAGTAATTTGTAGCGACCCGCCTTTTTTTTTATATATTTTATTTTTTAGTCGTTTTACTAATGGAGTGAAGGGAGAGACTCTTGGTTAGATTTTTTAAAAGTATATAATGAAGTCGGTGACATGGAGAGAGTTGAGTTGTTCTTAGTAATTGAATCATCGTTTTTATTTTAGTCATTATTAGTACTGTTTTTAACGTTTGCAACTCCCATGCTTGATTTTTTTTTTTTTTAAAAAAAGAATGAAGGAAGGAATTGAAAGTAAAATTAATTTAAAATTTTCAATACTGTATTTCTGAAGTAAGTTTTAAAAAAATTAAAAATAATGAAAAAAGAGAGAGAATTTTTTTTTGTTGACAGACCTTACTTCAGTTTTTGTAAATAATAATCAAATGAGGCAGCAAGTGATGCATTCTATGATTTTCTGTTTTTGGTCTGACGAAAATAACTTCCTTTTTTTTTTATCAGATTGTTAAAAAATATATTTTCTGCTTTGTTAGTTTTTTTTATAACAGAAATTGGTTAAAATAAGTTATTAAATTCGCTGCAGCATTTAGAAAACAATTGTAATTTGTATTGGCATCAAGCACAAAACTCCAATTATTTAAGCGGTCGAAAGTTATGAAAAGTTGTCGAAAAGTTATGAAAATTTTGACTGACAATAAATTCTCTTTATTTATTTTAATGTTTATGAATATTTGATTTTAGGCTAAGAAATGCTTAAATCGAAGTTTTTACAATTCAATAGTCAGAGATTTTTCACAATTATTTTGCGAAATTACAAAAATCAAGATTTAATATGTTATTTTAGAGCAGCGATAGCAGAGTGATTAAGGTACTGAGCTGTAATTATGAAGGACAGGGGTTCAAGTCCCGTTTAGGGTCTTGAAGCCCACTCAGTTTCGGAACAATGGCAGAAATGCCAACTGCTCCGGATGCGGCACACATTTTTAAAAATAGTAGAGAGCTACAAGCTAAAATTTGCAGATTTTCGGTAAATTGTGCCAATTTTTTAAAAGGCTCAACAAGACTTAACTGCAACAAAATGGCGCATCACATAAGTCTTTGAACTATTTAGAAGTAGTAGTGAGTAAAAACCCTATTAATCGAGTTTACTAAACCAAGAGTCATACAATAAAAAACTACCACTCGTTAATATTTATCCGCTGTTAGGAGCAAGTTGGCATCTCTGCAATGAGAATAATAATATTGTTTGTGAAATGAGTAGAATGTTGACCCTATTGCCACCATCGTGCTTTTGATATCAAACTTGTGTACTATTAATCTGCATGAATCCTTTGGCCAACAACTGACTGTTGCGAGATAACTTCCTATAGTTGCTCAGCTTTCTAAAAAAAAATATTTTCTTGTAGTAACGAAATTCAAGTTATTTTAATTTAATATTTTTCAGTTTAAGTAATTTTTTCACCACTACCTATCAAAAATTCAAAGTATCAAATGAAATGCAACTTAAGTGCCGTTATCTGGTGGTGACTTTTATATAAGAGTAGGCGTAATTTTCCTTATCCTGCAAGTTATACTACGAAATTCGCAACCCGTTTTTTGCAATTATGTTCTCTCACTTCAAAATACATGATGATAGTTTCTCGGGTAATATGCCCATTTAATAATTTTTAATTTTATTTCTAAGCTACAAGGACCGGTAGGTTTCTACCTCAACGATCCTCACCGTATGGGCCCATAGCCATACCTCACCATACATATGACGGGTAAATGTATATAAGGGGTAAAGGGCCACTCCGGCCTCAGGTACCCAAACCAACCGAAACGACTGTAATTATATTTAATAATAAGCTGAAAAAAATTATAGAAAAATCTAGTGATTTTTATTTTCGATAATACATTTTTGCTTTTTATAGTCACCACTTTTTACGTTTTTAGTCCTCCGTAGCATCAATGATATCCATATATAAAAGTTTGCACATGCAATAATGAACTGTTTCTTAAATAAATTTGTTACTTTATACTTTTAACCTACGTCAAAGTGAAAGTGCAATTTCCCTGATTAAAAAAAAAAAATCAAATTTACGTTTATAAACACAGCCCTTCCCAAACTTCTTTTAATGTGCTACTCTTTAATTATTTATCAGTTTATTTGAGGGCGGAATAATAAGAAATAGTATTCATTTAATTTATTTCATTTAGCTCAAGACAAAAATCTATTCTTAACAATAAACAATTCAATGTAATTAAAATTTTTTTCGGGGGGGGGGGGAGAAGCAATTCAGTATATAAATTGTATCCGTTAAAAAAAGTTGGTAGTTATGGATATTTTATTATTCCCGAAAAAAAGTTAAAAATGAAATTTATTTGTTACTCTTACTCTTTTTCGCCTTGATATATATGGACTTTCAGCCGTGGACAATTCCCTTCTTCAAGGAAGACAAAAAGTGGTAGTACATGGAAGCAATTCTTAAAATTTATTTTGTAGAAAGAGTGTAGTTCGGTCTATCAGAATTTATTAGGAATGTGAACATTTATATTTGGGTATTCTGTCTACGAACAGTGCTTTTTTTTAAAACCTGAAGTGATAGATAACAAAATGAAATATCCACTTGGGTTATACAAGTATATACTACCACTTTTTTTTCCTGTTGGTGCTTTTCATATATTTTAGTTGGCGGTTGTATTTGACGAGACAGATCAAAATAGTTCTTTTGTTGGTCATAATAGCGGGCACTTGGGTCTGTTTCCCATTGGCCGCAGAAATGCCAGAATTGCTACTCTCTTATCGTTACCCAGTGAACACCTATGTCTGAGCCACGTCATACAACCACAAACCCGTTTATAGGGCTGGCTACATTCACACAATCACACAGAAGAAAGGACATAGAACACAGAAAGAGAGAAAGAAACATCCATGCCCTGAGCGGGATTCGAACCTGCAACCATCGGCTTCGCAGTCAGGCACGCTGACGCCAGATCACAATATGAAAATGTCCCCTTCTACTTAAAAATCATACTTTAGCTCCAATCTAAGAGATCTAATTATTGTTCAATTTTACTGAAGAAATATTTTTGATGATCTTGCTGACAATTCCTTTCGTCTTAAAATTTTAGAAGAAAAACAGAAGTTTGATGTGAATATCTCTATTACATTTCGCTCTTTATTTTTTTTTTCTTACTGTCATCAAAACCCACATCAAATGCTAACATAATTTTTAAGTTATTAAAAATTGATTGATGACCATTTTTGTGATTTATATGACTCTAGATCTGACATTCTGTTTCCAAATACTAAACATTTTATAATAAGTTCATGACCGATAAGTTAATATTCTGAGTAACGGCTTAGAGAAATAGGTGTGTCGTCAACATTAAGTTTCTGAGAATATCTAGTATGAATACATTACTGTTTTAATATTAGCATATAATTTCAAATGAAGCTTTTCAAGTGAAGTCATAAAGCAAAATTTCTCGCTGAGAAAAAAAATTAAAAATAAATATTTATGTTAAGCATAATTATGAATGCCTACTTTGAATTTAATTGAACGATATCATGCTTATATCTTTATAGTTACGATTACTAATGCTATTTTGTGATGAACTATTTGATTTTTTTTCCTTCTGCTTCAGAGTCATATTCCACTTGAAAATAAAATAGATATAACTTCGAAAATAATGGTCAAAAGTTTAATGAGTGTGTAATTTATATTTCTTTATATTATAAAAAGAAAAAACAATACAATTTCTTTTGTTGCTAACATGGCCTAAGACTTGTGGCATAAAAAAATTGGTTAATTTTAACATTTTAGCTATGAGACGTTCAAAATGCTTTGATACATAATTAAATTACTCTTCAAAATTTGAAACTATTTCAAATCCTTGGTTATTATATGTATTTTTTTAAAGCTTATTTTCTCTAAATGATATTTCTCCTCATTTCCAAATGTATTTACATTTGTCAGAATTTCGAAATTAAAACATGTTTTAGTTTTTAAAGGGTGTTTTACTTTTAAAGACTCTAGTTTACATTTGTTTAGTTCAAAGTTAAATTCCATAACTGTGTAATTCAGTTGTAAAATTTAATAATAAACCTTTACAAAGTTATTACTCATTCAAAAAAGACTTATAAAAAAATAGTCTAGCAAAAAAATTCATTTCTACGTCTTTTAAGGAAAAGTGAATTGTTCATAGCTACCAATGCTAATTAACAGTCCTAATATATATTTTATTTTATAACAGTCGTTAAGCAGCAGACCCAATTTTCAGTTTGCGACTGTCAATGTTATTGTAATTTTGAACCCAATCCACAAGACAAAGGAACTCCTGGATCAGATATTGGGAGAAATTTGTCCTCGTGGATATTTTTTGATGGAACTAACCCGCATTTGCCCTACACAGAGAGGAAAACTACAAAAACCTTCCTCGGTTAGTCTGACGGCAAGACGACTCTAACTCATGATCCTTCTACCACTGAGGATATTTCACGTCAGCACTGTGGTCGGTGCGAGCGGGTGCGGTATTCGCATCGACAGCCATAGCTGGGATTCGAACCCAGGTCACCTCAATTGAACGCGAACGCTCTATCCCCTGAGCCATTTTGGCTCAGTTCATATATTTATAAAGGTATTTACTTGTGAATGTGTTACTGCTTAATGCTAAGAATATACGAGGGTTGTTTTTCAAGTAAGGGCCGTTTTGTTGTGTACGCTAAGAGGTGACGCGTGTGTTTCAAATTCTTGTGTCATGTCCCGGTGAATTATGGGATTGAGATTCCTTACTGTCGGGCTAATCGTGTGTAGTTTTCGTGGTTTTACTCTCCATGTAACGCAAATGGGGTTTATTCCCATCAAAAACTCCTCTACGAGCGCTACCAATGTTTGATCCCGGAGTTCCCTTGTCTTCTGGGTTGGGTTCAAAATTACAAGGTCACGGAGTAGAACATTGATAGTTTTAGAATAGTGTCAGCTGCTTAATGCCGGTTAT